TCCCTGCTCCCTGAGACTGAGTCTGAGACAGCTATGCATCATGATTGCTCTGAACTGCTGCAGCATGTCCAGGGAAGCCGACCTGATCTCACCAACATACCATGGAAGAACCCTGACTTGGTGATGTACACAGACGGGAGTAGTTACATAAGAGATGGAGTCAGGTATGCTGGGGCGGCAGTAGTCACCCAGGAGGACATCCTATGGGCGGAAGTCCTGCCCATAGGAACATCTGCTCAAAAGGCCGAACTAATAGCCTTGATTCAGGCCCTAAGACTGGGAGAGGGTAAGACTGTCAACATTTACACTGACAGTAGATATGCTTTTGCCACTGTTCATGTACATGGAGCCATCTATCAAGAAAGAGGCCTCCTGACATCAGAAGGAAAGACTATCAAAAACAAATAAGAGATCATTGATTTGTTAAGAGTCATATGGATGCCAAAAAGGGTGGCAGTCATTCATTGCCCAGGATACCAAAAGAATAACACACCTGAGGCCTGAGGTGGATCAAGGTGGAAACCAAAAGGTGGATCAAGTTGCCAAGGAAATAACAGAAACCCCATCTGAACCTGCTCTCCTAGCCCTGCCAGATCCTACGTTACCTGAAAAGCCTTTATACACAGAAGAGGATGACAAATATTTCCAGACAATTCCAAATGGGTATGTCTCCTCAGAATGGAGACACACTTCAGATGACAAGGTCATCCTCCCCGGATGCCTGGGGGAAATGCTAGTGTGCCAGCTCCATGAAGGAACTCACATGGGGAAAGAAAAGATCAGGTTATTACTAACCAGAGGCTTCCAGTTTCCTTCCTCAACAGCTACTGTACAGGACATCACCTCCAGATGTATATGGCATGCCAGATGACTAATGCCTACCCGAAAAATGATAAATCCTCAGGAAAACGTGAAAGAGGGACTGCCCCGGAGTCCACTGAGAGGTAGATGTCACTGAGGTAAAGCTGGTACGGTTTGGATATAAATATTTACTGGTTTTTGTAGATACCTTTTCAGGATGGGTAGAAGCCTTTCCTACCAAAAAGGAAATGGCAACCACAGTTGCCAAGAAGTTGGATGAACTCATTCCCAGGTTTGGTGTGCCCTTAATGTTGGAGTCTGACAATGGACCATCATTCATCTCTCAGGTAATACTGTTAACAAAGCCCTGGGGACAGATTGGAAACTACATTGTGCATACCATCCCCAGAGTTCAGGACAGGTAGAGAGGATGAATCAGACCCTTAAGGAGACCTTGACTAAATTAACCTTAGAATCTGGCGCAGACTGGGTTACTCTCCCCCCTTTTGCCCTCCTCAGGGCTAGAAACTCCCCCTATATCCTGGGAATAACTCCTTTTGAGATTCTTTTCGGAAGACCCCCTCCCCTGGTCCCAAGATTACAGTCAGAACTTTTGGCTGAAATATCTAATCATGAAATCCTCCAGTCTACTAGGGCATTATAGGCTGTACAGAAGCACCTCCACCCCTTGATCCAGCAGGTGCATGAACTGCCTCCAGCTACTCCACATCCTTACCGACCTGAAGACATTGTCTGGATAAAACAACATCAGGAGACATTGGCCCCTCGGCAGAAAGGACCATTCACTGTGATCCTGATGACTCCCACGGCAGTAAAGGTGGACAGACTGCGCACCTGGATTCATCACTCACATGTCAAGCCTGCCCAGGTTGACCAAGAAAAATGGAAGGTCCAACCCCATCAGAAGACCCCCTAAAACTTCGACTGGTAAAATAAAGCCCATCTTCTACTGCCCCCCTATAATTATGACTCTGCTCTTCTTAACTCTACCCCTTGGGACTAATCCCCAGGGAATTTACCAACCCCAGACTTACGTTTGGAGATTATCTGATACACAACCAGGAAAAACTATTATGGAAGTAACACTTCCTAGCCCTCAGGTTGCTCCCCCATTTAAAACTGACCTATGTCCCTTATGGCCAACACTGGGCTCCCTAAAACAACTGATGGCCCACAGTGTCTATGGGGGATCAGTAGCAATAGCAATGTCAGGAACATCTGGACAAACATCCCTTCTTGCTACTGGATGCAGAGCAGGCACCATAGATGCAGAAAAGGCCTTGGGAATGGCCTTCTACTCATGCCCAGCAAACACTGGGACTGATTGTGATGATGAGGGCCGTTACTTCTGTGCCCACTGGGGATGTGAAACCTGGGCCCCAATGTTTTTTAAACAAAAAGATCCATACCTTAGTATCAGATTGGAAAAAAATAAGTCTTGCTCGGTTCCCAGGACCTGCAACCCACTTACTATAACCCTAAAGAGATGGACGTTTTTGCGGTAGACCAAAAATGGGACATGGGCTGCATGTGGGGACTAAGAGCCTATGTGTCTGGTATGGACCCTGGAACCTTATTCACAATTCAAAGATTCTCAAAAGCCAACCGCCCTCAACCCATAGGGCCTTTGGCAGAGCTTAAGCCGGATTTCCCTCCTCCCCCTTCAAGGACCTCTGGCTCATATACACCCCCAACTACAAGGCCGATATCTTTAAAAGATAAAGACTTCACCCCCCTTCTAGAAGGGGAGCCTCTTATAAATACCATAAAGTCTACTTTTCAATATTTGAATAACACACGCCCGGAGATGACCAGGGACTGTTGGCTCTGCCTAGATCCCCAACCACCCTATTATATAGGTTTTGCCCTTACTGTAGTAAAAAGAGAGTCAAAAATAGTGCCCATGAATGATACTGTCTCATGCCCCTGGGAAACCACTTTCACCCTAGGAGACCTACAGGGACAAGGGACCTGCTTCATGTCAAATGGGTATCCCTTAGCCACCTCTCCTTACCTTTAAATTTGTAATCAGTCCTATACCATGGATACCTGGCCTATAGGAAATACTCAACTACTTGCTACTCCCCGATCTACTTGGTTTGCTTGTTCCTCTGGCTTAACTCCTTGCCTACATCTGTTACTTCATGGGAAGACAAGAGTTTTGTGTCCTGGTACATGTCACGCCCCAGGTATATTACTATGGGGGAGATGCAGGTAGACATCATATGGGCTTCTCCAGGCCCCGCAGGGCAGCAACTGCTGCCATTCTAGTCCCCTTCTTGTGGGGACTTCTTGTGGGTCTGCCACCATCGGGACAGCAGCCTGGGTCACAAGTGACCAGAATTTAAAGATTTTGAGTGAACAAGTTGACAAAGATATCAGGAGACTGCATGCTACTGTGTCCTATTTAGAGCAAGAAGTAGACTCCTTAGCTGAAGTAGTCCTGCAAAATAGAAGGGACCTAGACCTACTTTTTCTTAAGGAGGGTGGACTCTGTATGGCTCTAGGAGAAGCATGTTGTTTTTATGCTATTCAGGTGTGACTAAGGACACCCTGGCTCAGGTAAAACAGAGCCTCTTAGAATGAGAAGAGCTTAGAAAAGGATCCCAGAACTGGTTCGAGTCCCCCTTCTCCTGGTCACCTTGGCTTACCACCCTTATCACTGCTCTGGCCGGTCCCCTCTTAATCCTTATAGCACTGTTAAACTTTGGACCCTGTATCTAGTCAAGTTTGTTAAACAAAGGGTTTCCGCTGTACAACTGATGGTTATGAGGGCCCATTACAATCCCCTAGGTGACACATATGAGTCAATGAGGGCCAATTAACAACCCCCTAGATGACACATGAATCAATGGTTTGATTCAAGATTTCCAAAAACAAAAGGGGGGAATGAAGGAGAGTGCCCCTCAGACCCCCCACCCCCCATCCTCTGAGAACAAGCTGCCCTCCACCTGACTCTGGAAATCCCCTCCATTGTTAAAACCCTTTCCTGGTACATCTGTTTATGGTTTCTAGGGGAATGGTCTGGGGCAGAAGATGAAGAACAGTCTGCCCTAGGTAAGCTAGCCAATGGCTGTATAGGTTAAGGCTCTGGAAATCAGGCCTAGATTGTTCAAATCCTTTCCTGGTCATTCTGTGTATGGTTTCTATAGAAATCCCCTGCTCTGTGGTTTTTAATGCTTAAATGCCCTGTGTTTTCACTGCTCACGTCACAGTACAGCTCCTGAGACTGTGTCCCCAGCAGGTTGGCCTCAATAAAGCGTTTCTTTTTACTGAGACTCAGTGTCGGAGTGGTCAGTTCAGGGAATTTTTCAGACCTTGAACAATTCCCAGTACACATTCACAAAAAGACCCTTTTAGTAAAATGTGAATTATAACTCTGGCCTCCATGACTCCAGAGCTGATGAATAAATAGCTATCTGATGACGTTATCAGGTGTGTGGGGGCACATTCCAGCCCCACTCCTTCTGGAACTCAGGCATTACTTTGATCTAAGTGCCTGTTTCTTCATGCATAAAATGTGACCATATAGAACCCATGTCATAAGTGATGCGTGGATTAAATAGGTCTTTACATATAATGCATTTGGTAGAGCCTGCCATTTGTGACTCAGCAAACATTAACTACTGTTATCATCATCATGGGATACAGAGATGAAAAGGGCAAGACACGATTTCTAACAAACAAGCTCAGAATGTGAAGGAGGACAAAACAGTGACTTCGGGCAGGGAGCGCAAAAACTAAGAAGCAAGAGTAGCTGAGCCTGGAGAAAACCAAGAAGTGGTCTTTGAGTTGGCTCCTGAAGAATCAGAGTTCTAAGGACTGGGCAGCCAGCTGGGGCTAGACTCTGGGGCAGATCTTGTGCAAAAGAGCAGCAGCCTCCAGACGTCCAGCGCGAGAGCCTCAGGGAAAGCAGCGACTTATCTCGCAGCCCCGGGTTCTAGTCGTGGACACCAAGACCTGAAGTTCTTTCTGCACCTACTCCAGCCAAGAGCGGTGGCTGCAGCAGGTCGCAGAGGCAGGCCGGCCCGGAGCCTTAGGTCCCAGCCCCTCCTTGGCCTTCGGCTTCTGGGGAAATGGGAAGCCGCTGCAAGGGAGAACCCTCAGGCACCCTGGCGGCGCACCCCGGGCCGTTAAGCTGGGCACCTCCCCCAGCCCTGGCCCCAACCCCACCTCACCACTTTCATCTTCCCGGGACTCCAGGAGCGCTCCGCGGCGACAGGTCGGCGACAGTCGCCCAACAGGGGCAGCCCTCAGTCTTGCCCCCGCCCCCTAGACTCCCGCCCTTTGCCAGGGCCCGCCCCACCAGCCACACGACCCTGACCACGAGTGTAGGGTCTCTCGCCATGTTGGATACGGGCAGACAACTTACTAGAGAGCCTGAAAAGGGAAAGGGGGTTATATTGAGACTCACGACCCCTCTCCAGAAATAGAGACCGTCAAAGTCTCTGAATTCTAAGCAAGGGACGTTCTGAGAGGAGAAAATACACTTGTCCTCAATCTTCCTCCTTCGGCTTCAGAGGTAGATAATGCGCACGCGCAAACCCACGGCTCTAGGCACGCCTGCGCACTGTTTTGCTTGCGGTCCACAACAATAACAACTACGAGGAAAAGGGTTCGGTTGTCAAGTCCGGTTGAAACTTTTAGGGCAATTAAGTACCGGGTTTTTGCACCTTCCGATTCCGAGCCTCCAAGGAGCCTCAGGCGACTCAGCTTCCACAACAAAATTACTTAGTGTCGTTTGGAGCACTCAGTACTCTACATGCCTTTGCACAGCGTTACTTTGCCTGAATGGTTTAAATGTGACTGAAGTGTGCAGTTTGTCCAATTTTCTGCGCAAGAATGGTGACCTCTAGATGACTGTTTCCTCTCTACCAACCAGGCGTTATTCTCATAGTACAGTGTGCATAGATTATTGACACATTTTCATAAGAGTTGAAATTCCATTTGGTTCTGGGTGATTTTCTTAATTTTCTGCGCAAGAATGGTGACCTCTAGATGACTGTTTCCTCTCTACCAACCAGGCGTTATTCTCATAGTACAGTGTGCATAGATTATTGACACATTTTCATAAGAGTTGAAATTCCATTTGGTTCTGGGTGATTTTTTTTTTTTTTTTTTTTTTTTTTTTTTTTTTTTTTTTTTTTGTGTGTTTTTCACTATGTAGCTCTAGCTGGCCTGGAGCTCGCTATGTAGACCAGAATGGCCTGGAACTCAGAGAGATCAGCCTGTCCCTGCCTCCTGAGTGCTGGGATTAAAGGCGTTTGCCACCATACCCTGCAAAGTCTGGTTTTAGTACAGACAGAAAACAAAAATCAAAGGTAAGGAACTTCTAAAATGTATATATTTAGATTCGGTACCCGAAGACAATACACCAAAGGTGATCTGCATGGTGGCAAATACCCTAGATGATTCTGATGCACTACAGGCACAATGGACATTACCTGAGACTGAGCTTCTTGATGGTACAGGCTGGCCATCTCTGACTCTAGCATCCAGTACAAGGCCTGATACAAAGCTGGTACACAGCCAGGCCTGATGGCTGACACCTTTAATCCTAGCACTCAGGAGGAAGAGGCAGACAGATCTCTGTGAGTTCCAGGCATCCTGTTCTATATAGTAAGACTATTTTTTTTAAATATTATTATTTTTATTTTATGTGTATGAGTGTATTGCCTGCATGTATGTGAGTACACCCGTGTCGTGCGGAGATCAGAAGAGGGCTTCGGATTCCCCTGGAGCTGGAGTTAAGGACGGTTCACAGCCGCCATGTGGATGCTGGGAATCAAACCCGGGTCCTCTGCAAGACCTCTGCAGTGCTCTTAACCGCTGAGCCATCTCTCCAGCCCAGTAAGACTCTATTTTAAACAAACAACCAAAAAAACTCCAGATGCCCAGCAAGTGTTGAGTGAACTAATGGGTAGATGGGCGAATACAAGTCTTCCATTCCACAAATGGGAATCTGAGAAAGGAGCATTTTTTTAAGAGCCTCACAACTTTTTTTTTACTTTATGTGTATGAGTGTATTGCCTACATGTAGGTAAGTGCACCCGTGTTGTGCAATGCCCTCAGAGGTCAGAAGAGGCTGTCAGATCCCCTGGAACTGGAGTTACAGACAGTTGTTAGCTGCCATGTGGGTGCTGGGGTTCGAACCCTGGTCTTCCACAAGAGCAACCAGTGATCTTAACCACTGAGCAATCTCTCCAGCTCCCATGCCTCACAACTTTTTATGTGAGTGCTACTGAACGAAGATCTTTATGCTTGCACAGCAAGCACTTGAACCCACTGAGCCAACTCCTCAGCCCCCTTACATACAAACTTTTAAAAATATTATTTTTATTTTATGTGTATGAATGTATTGCCTGCAAGTATGTAAGTGCACCTGTGTTGCACAATGCCCATGGAGGTTAGAAAAGGGCAATTCCCCTGGAACTGGAGTTACAGATGGTTGTTAGCCATCAAGTGGGTGTTGGGAATCTAACCAGGGTCCTCTGCAAGAGCAACCAGTGCTCTTAACCACTGAACCATCTCTCCAGCCCTCATATGAACTTTTTAATAGCTATTTTTATTATATAATTTTAAAATCCTTATTTATTTTATGTGTATGTGTGCTTTGCTTGCATGTATGAAAGTGCACCATGTGCATACAATGCTGGTAGAGGCCAGAAGAGGGCATTGAATCCCCTGGAACTGTTACAGACAGTTGTTACCTGACATTTGGGTGCTGGAAACTGAACCCAGGTCCTCTGCAAGAGCAGCCAGTGTGCTTAACTGCTGAGTCATCTCTCCAGCCCTATTTTTAATTATATTTTTTAAAGATCTTTTTATTTAAACATTAAAAAATATGGAGCTGGAGAGATGGCTCAACGGTTAAGAACACTGGTTGTTCTTGCAGAAGACCCAGGTTTGAATCCTAGCACCCACATAGCAGCTAGCAACTGTCCGTAACTCCAGTTCCAGGGGATTCAACAGCCTCTTCTGACCTCCACCGGCATTGCACAACACCGGTGCACTTACCTACATGCAGGCAATACACACATACACCTAAAATAAAAATAATAAAGATAATAAATAAAATTTTTTAAAAATTAAAAATATTTTCAAAAAATATTTTTATTATTTTTTTTATGTGTATGAGTGTATTGCCTGCTTGTATGTGAGTGCCCCCATGTCATGCAATGCCTTGGAGATTAGAAGAGGGCTTCGGATTCCCCTGGAACTGGAGTTAGGATGGTTCATGGCCGCCATGTGGGTGCTGGGAATCAAACCTGGGTCCTCTGCAAGAGCAGTCAGTTCTCTTAACCGCTGAGCCATCTCTCCAACCCCTAAAAATATTTATTATATATAGGTATGAGTATATTACCCACATGTATGTTAAGTGCACCCATGTCATGCACTATGCCTGTGGAGGTCAGAAGAGGGCGTTGAATTCCCCAGAACTAGAGTTAAAGACAGTTGTTAGCTGCCATGTGGCTGCTGGGAATTGAACCTGGATCCTCTGCAAGGTAGCCAGTGCTTTTAATCACTGAGCCATCTCTCCAGTCCCTATTTTAAAATTTTTAAATATTATTTATGTGTGTGGAGGGCAGAAGAAGGCATTGGATCCCTTGGGACTGGAGCTTAAAGGTTGTTGTGAATAGCCCACATAGCTGCTGGGACCTAAATTCTGGTCTTCTGAAAAAGCAGCAAGTGCTCTTAACAACTGAGCCATCTCTTAAGCCCTGATTTATTACATATTTAGTGTGTGTGTGTATGAGTGTGTGTACACCTGTGCCATGCATGTGGAGTTCAGAGGACAACTTGAGGGTGTAGGTTCTCTCTACCATGTGGATTCGAGAGATCCAACTTGGGTCAACTTGGTGGCAAATCCCTTTTCCCAGTAAGTTATCTTGCTGACCCTTTAATGACTACTTTGAGGGGGAGAAAGTGGAGAAAAATTGAGTGTTTTTGAAAAACAAGCTGTCTAGAGAGGAAAGAAGAAACATCTCCAGGCCCTGGAGAAAAAGATGTCAAAAATGAGTGGTGAGGAATCACTCCAGGGAAATAATCCCATAGCAAGTCCCGTGTGGGAATATTCTGTGCTACAATATTTAGAACAGAGGAAAACAAAGCAACCTAAATGATAAACATACCCAACTTTCCTGCCTCCAGGCCTTTGCACATATTTTGCCACCTACCTAGACAACTTCTCTCCCTCTTCCCTTTTCCCTGAGTCCTTGGCTTATGTGGTACTTCTTTTTAGATCTCACTAGGATCCCTTAACATGCTATCTAATGTAAAACTTGGGCAGACAAGATGGGTAAAAGCGCTTGCTGAGTTGGATCCCTGGAACCCACAGTAGAAGGAGAACTGAGTCCCAAAAGTTGCCTTCTGGCTCCCACATGAACACTGAAGCACTTCTTGTGCCCTCAATGATGCATACTAATAATCAATCAAAAATTTTTGAAAAATAAAACTTACCCTATCATCATAGTTCTATGTTTCTTTCATAGCATTTTTCCCTTATTTTATTTACTTACCTATTATTTTCACACTTCTGCCCTCTGAAATTTAAGCTTCATGAAGTTAGGAGACTGAATTATTCTGAGCACTTAGCATATAGACTGACAGGTGCTAAATCAGTATCCATTGGATGAATGAGTCGAGTAAGCCTTCATGCTACAAAAGTTATTGAGATAAAAATCTCTGGGTAAAGCCAGATGTGGTGGTGCACAACTTTAATCCCAGCACTCAGGAGGCAGAGACAGGCAGATCATTTGAGGTCATCTTGGTCTATATAGAAAATTCCAGGCTAGACAAGACTATATAGTGATACCCTGTCTCAAAAAAAAAAAAAAAATCCATCAGCTGGAGCTAGGGATGTGGCTCAGTTGGTAGCGTGCTTGCCTTGCATGCATGAAGCCCTGGGCTTGATAAAAACTTGGCATGGTGGCACAGACCCGTAATCCTAGCACTTGAAAGATAGAGATGAGAAAATCAGAAGGTCAAAGTCATCCTTGGCAACATAGAGAGTTTTGAGGTTAACCTGAGCTACAAGAGATCCTGTCTCAAAAATGAGAAACAAAACAAAATAAAAAAATCCATCAGCAAACTGACAACATGTTTTAGAGAGTAGATACTGGTTTCAGATTACCGAAACATTTCAGTAATGAAGTGAATGAAGTAAGAAATCAAAACCAAACAGTAATCTTTGTAAAGAAGGATTCATTCATGCCAGAATTCATTTATCCATTTATCAGCAAACATTTATTGAACATTTGCTGTACTCTTGTATGAAATGATAACACAATGTGT